TACCTGTTTAATTAGTTTTGGACCTGCAAAGGTACGTAATTTTTTAAAATTTAAAATACTGACTACTAGATTTGCAATGTGCTGTCTAAAAGATAATGTGTCGTTAATTAAATATCTAGATATTTTATATGGGATGTGTTCCGTATTATAGGGCAATCGCATATATTGACTGAAGGATATTGGCATTGGTGTGCGTATAAGTTAGGATTTGTAAACCCATGACAAGGCTGGCGCATAGAAAAGTGAATATAATTGGTTTTGTCAGTATTTAGTGTTAGTAAATTGCAGCAAAGCCAGTTATTTACACCATTAATACCAAGTTGAGCTACCTCATATCATTTTGACTTACTATTGGCGCTAAAAATCAAGGCGTATCATCGGCGTAAGATAATTTTACCACATTTTAAATTAGGGTTACATAAATCATTGATGTAAACGATAAAAAGGGTAGGGCCGATTATTCTTCCCTGGGGAATACCATAGCAGGTCATTTTCTGGTAATAACTTTTAATTTTTCCTATTTTAACGCATTGAGATCGATTGTCTAAATAATCTGCAAACAGTTTTAACTGCGTTCCTCTAATACCAAATGCTTCCAACTTTTTTAGAAGCTTCGGAATTGAAACGGTATCGAAAGCTTTTGCTAAATCAATAAAAACAGCAAAAATTTGCTTTCCTTTGCCTAGTTCCTGAGTAATAGAGTTATTTAAGTTATGCACCGCATCTATTGTTGACAACTTTGGCCGAAAACCAAATTGTTATTTTTTTTTCAGGTAGTCAATAAGCTTTTTCTTAATATTTATTCTAATACTTTTGAAAAGGATGGAAGCACTGATATTGGTCTATAGTTATTTACTTGTCTATAGATCTTTACATCCAGATTTATAGATAGGAGTAACTACCGCTTTTTTTAAACATTGTTAGAAAATACCCTGCGAAAGGCAGATTTGAAAAATGCGTGTTAACGGTGGTGTTAAAGTATGCTTAAAACTTTTGAGGATTTTATTGCTAATGTTATCAAAGCCGACTGCACTGTCATCTTTCAAATTTGTAAAATTTCTTTAAATTTCATAATTTGCTTTTAATTTTTTCAAAAGATTATAACAGAAATTCCTGTATCTTCTGTAGATAACTAGTAATGTGAGGTTATCGGGACTTTTTTTGTCCTCATATAAAGTTTATCCCTGTCTCTTATACATCGAATAATACCTGAGGTTATCCAAGGTTTGATATTTTGATATTGTTTATTTGAACTTAGATTTTTCTACTTTATGATTCAATTTAGGCAGCGATAAATTTAAGGTTAGTAAGACAGCGGAATGATCGGTAAACGGTGTTTTTGAGACAAGTGTAAAATATGTTGACCTAGATTTTATCATCATATGGTCGAGACAAGAACCACTCTGATGTGTTGGTAATGTATGGGCTGGGTAAAAACCAGGGTACGAACATAGATTAAGGTAATCTTGGGTTCCAGCATCTCGGGTATCTCTGGTAAAAAATTGATTCCCCGTTGTTGCAGGCGATTTAAAAAAACCTGTGAATGCAGTACTCTACTTAGATGCCTTTTTTCAGTAAAATATCGTATCTGCAATATTTAATATACTTACCCTCCATGTGGCATGACCGTGGGACGGCCTGCATATGCTTCAATGATATTTTATAAAATGTCTGTTCCACGAGGACCAGCCAGCAAACGGGACTCGAACCCGCACCCTTCGCTATCTGGGCGAATGCACTTAGCATTATGCTACCGCGGTTCTGACGGCCGTGTCAAATTTTCTCTAGTGTTTTTTAAGCTACAAGGCAGCGCTATCTCTTCTCATTGTATGTAACCCACAATATCAAATTAATACCTTTAGGTACAAGTATTAAACATTTGAAAGAAGAAATAGCAATTGAAGTTACATTTTTATTAATTAAGAATTTAATTGACTGACTAAGAAAAACGAGCGAGCCTTACAGCAGTCGCGTATGATGTGTAACATTTGAAACCTCACCTTATATTAGTAAAAAAAGAAATAAAACCTACTACAAAAGGAAGCCATATGAACATTATGTTCTTAAATCAAATCAAATAGCGCTCGCTTTCGCGACTTCCTGTTACACACTTCTGTCCCATTTCACGAAATCACTCCCACAAATTGCAGGAAAGCGAGAGGAAAGATGTTACACAACCGTGCGTTTTTGTCGAAATTTTTTACCACGTACGACAAAACTGTGGAATATGTTGTCGCCAGCAGTGTTTCCGGACCAATACGACCCAAAAACCTTCAAAAAAAAAAGCGTACTCCTTCCTTAAAGGCCGGCATCACACTTGTGATACTCCTGGTGTTGCAAGTGTCCATGGGCGACGGTGATCACTTACCATCAGGTGAGCCGTCTGCTCTCGTATGCCACCTATAACATAAAAAAAGACATCAAAAATTCTTAACATTTAAACATCTAGCAGTTAAATGCATAATGTCTGTTTTTAAATCGGATGCATGGACACTCGAGCGCTTCGTATCGGCCCGCTATCTTTTTCATTATCAAAGAACAATTAGATTTGTTCACTTATTTAGTCACACTATAAGAAAGAAACCGTTTCTAGTGCTACGATTAATAGGTAAAAACAAAAAACGCGAATCACTGGTTTTTAATTTTGACGTTAAAAGACAATGGGTGATCACATGAAGAGTAAAGTGAGCCGACATTATGGACCAAAGAGTATATAATTTCATTATCTCTGATTCGGTATGTATCTTTAGAATTTATGTTATTGAATGCCATTGTTATGGTACTATCAACAACACGTTAGGCTCAATCTCCCTATTTCATCCATAGGGAAAGGCATTTCTTTCTTTGTTTTAATAGGCTGATAATGATTCACATTGATTACTCTTCTTATATGATTTTTCTACCACCATGACGAGGAGCTCGATGGCGCAGGTGGTTAGCGCGTTCGGCTGCGATCGTTGAAGTTAAGCAACTTCCGCAGTGGTCGGTCCTTGAATGGGTGACCAAAAATCTTCTATCTTGAGCTCCTCCGTACTTCGGAAGGCGCGTTAAGCCGTTGATCCCCGCTGCATCTGCAGTCGTTAGCACCCGCCAATCCGCACTGGGCCCGCGTGGTGGGTCATGGCCCAATCTCCCTATTCTATCCATAGGGAAGGCCTGTGCCCCAGCAGTGGGGACATTATTAGGTTGATGATGATGATGATGACGAGAAAACGGAACCTGAAAAATAAAATCGAAAACGCTAAAAAATAATATATGAAAATTATTAAAAAAAAATAACGAATTGTCACATTTCATAGCATTTTACAATTGAAATACACTCAAAAAGAATCCGGGTCATTCTTATTACATAATTCGACATAGTTTACTATCTACTTTTGACGATTTTTAATAATAGATAATATTGTCATGTTACTAAATATGTACGTAGTTGATCTTAGATGTTAATTTAAATTTAAATTATGATGATTGCATTGTAAACGATGTAAATATAGTATACTAGCGGCCCGCCCTCGCTTCGCTTCGGTGTAGAGCTGAAGGGTAGACTACAGTTTTTGTTCTCAGACTTGTATTATACACAATGACAGTCATCTATGATTCTTCTTATACCTGCATGCAAAGTCTCAGCCTGATCGGTTTAAAATTGACAAAGTTTCATACAAACTTTCATTCCCTATTTTATTCCCTTGGGGGTAGAATTGATCAAAATCCTTTTTTAGCGGATGCCTGCCATGCGCATGCCAAATTTCAGCCCGATCCGTCCAGTAGTTTGGTTTGTGCGTTGATAGATCACTATGTCAGAAAGTCACCTTTGAGTTTTATATATATATATATATATATATATATATAGATATTACCCGCCCTTTTCTTTTTTTGGTGTAATGTATACTTTTGACTATAGTTTTTGTTATCAGCCTTTCTATAGGGGAAAATCAGCCATCAGACTTGCCCAGATGGAAGAGTTGAAAATTGTATTTAAATAAATCTCAAACAAAACGTCAATTCTTTCATTGGTCACATGCGAGTTACCAATCGCAACAAAACAGTCTGTAAATCTTGCTCCAGGTTTTTGCCCCTACACATAACCTTTTCGTGAAAAAATATTATCTAATTGATGATGAAAAAATACATCTTTTTTCAGTATCTTTTGAGATCATAGCAAAGACACGTACAGATACGACGCGGAACTTTCTACTATAAAATATAATGACGATTTAAAAAAAACGCATATATACAGGTTGTGACAAAAGTCCGAAATAAAACTTTAGAGTTTGGTTGTGTTCCTTGTATAGAATTACTCGTACCTACGAAAGTTTGACGCCTATCAGACCACCTTTATTTTCTAATTAAATTAATAAAAATATCGTTTTACACCTGCCTATGACTACTACTACCTAAACATACCCCCCTCTCTCTCCCCCAGGCGCCCCTGCGCCCCGCTCAGATACCTACAAATTTTTATTTCGGAATACATACCTACAAATTTTATTTCGGCATTCTGTAACATCCTGTATATAACGATTCATTTTCGTTGCTCTTAAGTGTGGACTAGATTCGTGAATCTAACCGCGAGCAAACTGGAAACATAGAATGCATTACGTTCTTATTTTTCCAATGCAGATAGGAAAGCTCATTAATAATTATTATATTTTTATTTTAAGCATTTTAATGATAGATGTTTGAATCTAAACTAAATTTCACTAGAAAAAAATCTATTCGGTCAAGTTATATGGGATAGCAGAAGATGCGGATCTAAATCGAATAGACTACAGATAAAGCTATTTTTTGAGCAATTAACATCAAGTAGGGCATCAGAGTAATTTGCCTACCTGGCTATAAAAAAAAAAAAATTAAATTAATATAATTTTCTTTGTTTCAGATAAAATGCTGCGGTACTGTGATCGAGAAGTATGAAAAAAATTAGTTGGTTAAAAAAGTTAGTTAATTATTACTAAAATATTTATTTATTATTAAAGTGACAAAGTGAAGTGTGTGACATAATGCCACCGGTGGAAGAGCGACGGACATCTACGGTAAGAAAACTGATTTAACGTTATGATAATTAGAGTATAGAAGTATATACTTTTTGAGAGAAGAATGCTGTTTATATCACCTAATGGTTTATCTTAGGTCAAGCAAAAAGGATATTTTCCAGGTGGAATTGATCTCATGGTTACCCTACAGCCATCTAAAGGGTTCTGCTGTAAGGTAGGGTATGTCAGATTCTTAAAGACTCTTGCAGCAAAACTAAATTTCGATTCAACTAAAACTAGATTTAACTCATAGAAAAATGACAAAACGACAATGTCAATTGACAATATTGTACGGGCTTTTAGTTTTAGTCAAACTGAAATTTAGCAAGAGGGACGGCTTTTGCAAAAAAAAATATCAAATTGAACAAAATATAGCTACCTTTCCGTAAAACGAATTTAAAAGACAATACATTTTATCAGCATAATTAAAAATAATTATGCGAGATATAACTTAGTAAGTCATTTATATAGATGTGAACAGTATTGGACCAAAAGTGACCCCTGTGGCACGCGCTCGTATGGGTAGTATCAGGTACATCTATATATATAAAACTCGAAGGTGACTGACTGACTGACATAGTGATCTATCAACGCACAGCCCAAACCACTGGACGGATCGGGCTGTGGCATGCAGGTAGATGTTATGACGTAGGCATCCGCTAAGAAACGATTTTGATCAATTCTACTCCCAATGGGATAAAATAGGGAATGAAAGTTTGTATGAAACTTTGTAAATTTTAAACCGATCGGGCTGAGACTTTGCATACAGGTATAAGAAGAATCATAGATGAATGTGATTGTGTATAATACAAGCCTAAGAACAAAAACTGTAGTCTACACGTCAGCTCTACACCGAAGCGAAGCGAGGGCGGGCCACTAGTATAACCATAAAGTGCTACTGCTTAGGAATGGGTTTTCTAGTCTTATACAATTATATAATAATAATAAATTTATTCAGTTAAGACTCTACCACTACATATAACATTATAACAATTTGATAGGTCGCTAATCCGTATTCGGGTGTACGAAGCAATATTTACACTGGAATCAGTGTTACCAACCCTTACCAACATTTTACCCTAGGTAAGTATTTTTAAATTCCCCTAATATCCCCTAAATATAGAAATTTATATGTACCTACTTATCTTATTACCTAAATTCTTTCGTTGCTCATAAATTAAAGCGTTACACATAGATGAATGATTGGTCTCGCTTCACTCGACTAGATACCGCCGCACTGTGGAATATTTCGGTGTGTTTCGGATTAAAAATCTGTAACTCCGTCAATTTAAAAGATAGACTTATAAAATTTTGCTATAATATAAAGTGATACATAAGGATTCATATAAGTAATGTTTGATGAATTGGAATTATGCGTATTTTTTTTAATTAAAAAAGAAAAGTCACAAAATGATTTAAAATAGTATTATTAGTATTATTTATTTATTGAAATATTTTTTAGAAACATATTGTACGTCTATTTCTTAATGCTAATTACTCTATTAAGATAACTATCATATTATATTGATAATATAAAATTAAAAATGGTAAAATATTTTTAACACTACGCTAACATACAGAAACAAATCAAAATTATCGCAATATATATTTCTTTTTTTTTGCTCAGCAAGATTGACATTTTACACCCGGTGAGCTTCAGGATCTGAAATAAGTTCATTAACCTTGAGAAGGTGTAAAGTATCTTCATCGAGCTCCTTTACATTTTTTGCATATGGTTTTCTTATGCTCGTTATATATGGATCTGAAGTGTAAAGTAGTGTATTAAACACATCTTCGTTTGTAGCTATTCGAGAGCATTTCCGAGCATGGTGTAAGCAAAATTTTTTATGGTCCTTATTGCGAGATTCTTGAGCATCTTCTGAAAGTTGCCCAATTGGTAATACCGCGAAATGGTTTATGATACTCTCTCCGTGAATTAAAATTTTGTGGACAGATGATGGCATGTAATACCAACTATATTTACTCACGTATATTCTTGCAGTTTCCAGAGCATAATTACCAAATTTCTTACTATCTACCACTATACCAGATGACAAAGCCTGCAAAATTATATATAACCGTTTAATTAAATCAATGTCAATCCCTGTGATATCAGCAGAACAGGCAGCATTGTAAAAAAATCTCCTAGCAGTATTGCCATCATTACTATTTCCCGTCCCCTGTCTTGGTTTATCGATATTTAGACCCAACTCTTCACTAAATCGCTTTTGTACTTCAGCCTTTTTTCCTTGTTTGAGTCTTTTTTTTTCTTCGCTTGTAGCAGACCACGTTTGGAAAGATAGTTCAGACTCCTCTGGTAGTGCTTGCTTGTACTGGCTTTGTCCAGATGACCCATCACAACCCTATTTGCTATACAATAGTAAATGTTTTTGTCCATTCTTGTAAACCTTATCTATTGATAAAATTCGAGCTGCAGTGTGATCCAATAGATCTTGAACTCTCAATATTTTTGCATTAGTATTTGTGATTTCGATTGTTGATGATGGTGGATAGCACCTCTGTTTCATTTCCTGTATTTTATAGTATGGTGGAAATAAAGAACAGTTTCTTTCATCTGTAACGTTCCTGAGATACAGATATTGTGCCTTTGTTAGTTCCAAGTCGATGAAGACACTTAATGCTTCTTCATCTGTAAGTCCTTTAATTATTTTTGCATCATCTAATTGATTTATAACGAAAACCTTTTTCTCTTCATCAGCCAACCTTAATTTTTCAACGACTTTTGCTTCAATTCTATAGAACGCAATCCTTGAAGATATGCGCTTAGAATGTGCTCCAAACCATATTCATTTAGCAAAATGGTGTTTTTTCTTTTTTTGCTTGATTCTGAAGAGTCTCCATATGACACACACGGTCTTCCTCGTTTACCAGAAGAAGTAGACGGTGTAGAGTCTGTTGACACGTTTTCTGATGTTGGTATAGTTAACGAATATTCAGAATCCAACCAATTGGTGTTCTTTCTTAAAAAGGTATTTTTATTGCGTCCTGCTAAACGAAGGGATGACATCCCTTTGAATATGGTCAATAATAAAACATATATTGACATCCGAAATTTGTTTTCCCTCCAAATATGTTGAAAGTGCCGCAGTCGTTTTTCTGCCTTCTATATAAGACACTATTAACTCACGTTTAGTACAGTTAAAAGTAGACATGTTGAATAATGAAATAATCGTACCTACTAGAGTACGTAGACGTAAAGACCACTGAAACGGTAATGGAGACATATTTTTTCACTGCCCTTTTTATATTGTTTCAGAATGTGGGAATTATTTCAGATATCTATTTTCTCACGGAAAATGACATCGAAATGATAAAACCTACATAACAATATCAAATAATTAATTCATAAAATGTACCACAAACTATAGATAATAAAAGTAAACTACGAAACCGCATTTGATAGCGATTTCCGTTCCCAGACTAGTATTCGATTTTTTCACATATCTCCGAAAACCGCAAAAAGCCGCAGCTAATTTTTTTATATGTTTTAGATGAGTAACTAACCTATAATTTAACATTAAATTCAAAGCATCGGTAAACAACTCTAAATGTTAAAAGATTCGACGAAGTTGAGGAAAAAAAAATATTTCTGCATTTTTTCTTTAAATTGGTTTTTAAATTTATATTCCTATTAAAAACAATCAATTGTATTTATTTCTAACCTCTGATAAATGTGCTTTTCAAAAATATATAATACCTTATACCTTTCATTTCAAGTTTTAAAACTATTTCACGTTGAAAAACATAAATGAAGAACTTAATATTTCCCAGCTGCCTAAACGTTTAACTTTGCTACATGAAAAAAAATAATTTTACGAAATAAAATATGAATTACGCTGCAGAATATTAAACTTCGACTTTTGAACTACTAAATTATATTCATATATTAGCCAATTTCAATCAGTAATAAAAATCAATTTTGATATGCGTTTGTTCTACCATATTCCACCGTGCGCCGGCGCGCTTATATAATGGGGCAACAAATACTATGCCGAAATCGGCATACCCGAGCCTTCACCGTGTCAGTCACATTGACAGCTGCGCTTTAGGTGTTAGTCCCGAATATTTTAATCAATTTAGAGCAAAATCCGCAGCAAAATGCCAGTTTGTGTTGTGAAACTTTGTAAGAATAATAGTTCAAAAAATAAAAAGGACACTGGGATCACATACCATCAGTAAGTATCTTTTAATTTCGAAATTTCCATGTAAAATTTCATGAAAAATAAACGTCATTTGGTATTGCCAAGTACGCAATATAAAAGTCCCTATGGTTCAGATTTTTATAATATGAATATACTATTATATGACCCATTTCATTTGACCTCTTTATGAAATACAAACTATTCATGTCAGTGAATCGAAAATATTTGAAAATGAATCGGGGGGAGGGGGGGGGGGGGGTGAAGAAATAGACCAGGGGGCTTAGACAAAGTTACATCGTTTCGTAGCGAAACGATATCTAAATTCGTCATCGTTTCTGAGATAACGAAAACAATTTCCTAGCCAAGGTAACACTCTTGTCGTTATCGTCGTGGCGAATTGTTTTTTCGCTAAGAAAACGAAAATTGTCTATGGTATCGAAAATTTCTGCTGCCAGTTAGTCAAGAAGAGCCCGCGAATCGGAAACTTATTTAATTATTTATGTTGCGATGTGAATGTAAGGTTTATTAATAAACGAGTCTCTGTAATGTCTCAGCATCGTGTTAGATTAAGATCACCATTAATGTTGTGTATCGTTTCTCAGAGCTCATGTTGCTCAGCTTGTTTATACAAAAGTAATACGAGTAAAATAGCGTCCTGTGTGTGGGACAATGCTTTGTTTTGTTCATGTTTTAATTGTATTTCGAATAAAAGATTAGGACCCAGAGGCTCAGGCAGTCCAGTTAAGGAACAAGAGAGCAAGTTAACTAACGTGTATTATATTAAAATAAGTGTGAATTTGTGTTTCAGTATAGAAAACAACAGTAAGTAAATAGTGT